GTCACAGATATCAGGTCTGCATTAAGTGTGCCTCCTTGTGGGCCTCCCCTGGTGGCGCAGGAGGTTGAGCCAGTGCTACGAAGCTGTCCACAGCCTCTGCAGCGCCGGTTCAACCCTGGCCACCCGGCAAGGGTCCCACATGGCACGACAGACCTCTCCTGTCGTGCCCGCTGCTCCCCTCAGCAGTGTACTTCGTCAGTCTGCCTGTTCTGTTCCCAGCTCTGTCTCTGGTGAGTCCTCTCACTCTCCTGCACATCTGGCCTGTACCCTTGTTCTTGTATAAATAAATACATAAATAAATAAATATTTTAAAAAAAATAGTAAGTGTGCCTCCTCAAGAAGCTGATGTGCTGTCCTTGAAGGCCCAGTACTCAGAGCTCACAGGGCTGTCTGTGTTCCTTACAGGTTGGAAGGACCCCTCAGTTGTTCATTGAAGGGTGATTGTCCCAGACAATCAATGGTCTAACATTGCCTCCAAATCGCAGGTCCAAAGGGCTTTTTAAAAATCACGTAGTTATGATAGTGCTTTAGAACATTTAGAGTGTTGTGGATGTTTTGGAGGGGGGTAAATATATTTCTTTCTAGAGTGGAGATTGGAACTTTTAGAACAATTGTGCCAGAGAGAAATTACCAGCAGTGAGGAATGACTGGATGGATGGAGCTGGAAACTATCAGATATAACAGTAACTTCTTTCTGTGACCATCTTAACCAATTTTTGAGCACTTTATGTGTTTCTTATTAATTCTTAAAATAACCCATGTGCCAAGTAATCTAGTTACAGATGAGGAAATAGGACTCAGAGGAAATTACTTACTGAAGATGACCCAGGTACTGGTGGAGGAACTGGAACTTGCACTTTTCAGGTCTTCTGATACCAAAATCAGTGCTTGGGTGACTTACTCAGTGTTTCTAAAATTCGTTCACTCATTCAGCAAATACTTTTTGGATAAATTTGATGTACAGGGAATTATTTAGAATTCTGAATGAAATCTGGGCTATGAAAATAAAAGCAGGTTGTAATATTTTCAGGTTTCCCTGTGATGGATACTATGATGTACTCTCCAGCTACATCATCATCCTAGGTGTCTTCACACCAACTTTGAGAGAGAAAATCATCCTAAGATCAGCAAACAAATCCTGAGAACTGTTTGGTCTCTTGACCAGGAGCAGAACTATGCTGGGGAGGCCTAGGGTTTAGTTTCAGGTCTGCCCATCTCCAAAGTCTGTGCTCTTAATTATGCTGCCTCTGCCATGCTCGTAACTCTGTTAGCAGCCATAAATCCACTCCTATCTGCTAGACCCAGTAAATTTCAAAATGGAAAATCATTTTTCTAATAAAACTATACTGAGAAAAACGATGTTAATGTTCATACATTCTACCCTCATTATGACATCAACCTCTGAGCTGAACTATTCTGCAAGTTATAAAGAGCTGTTTTTATGATGAATGGGGGTTATATTGGCACTTTAATTGAGTTAGAAACCAAGGTACATGAATGTTAGTGCACGAAAAATGCAATAAAAAAAGCTGTTCGATGTGATTGGAATATATCAGATCAATTTAACACCACCTTTAAATACTCGAAAGTCCATACATTTAAATATGTTTTATCAAATTGCTGGGTGAAGTATTTATATGCATATATAAGTACACACATTTTGTCTTTCTAACCAATCTTTTCCTTTTCTTTTAGTTTGTTTCTTATCACATTTTTAACATTTCTCATGTATGATAAATTTAGATTTTAAGTATGTGATCAAAATTCTTGGCTATAGCAATGGAACAGTTCTCTTATTTTCAGATATGGCAATTTAGGATATATTAGGATAAATATCTATATTTAGCATATATTAGCATAAAATTATATAAACTTAAAAGAATCACTTTCCACAAGAAGGGTTTTGATGGAAATATTGGTTCAATTTCAGCCTGACTTATTTGATTTCATTAATTCTAGTTCAAATTTGTTCATCTTAAAAAGAAAATTTAATTCACATGTCTTTAGAATTAGTACTTGCATTTGCTTGATTTTATACTCAGCAAATTAAAGAGAGTTTATTTTAATTTAAGGCTTTTGGTTTCCTTAAGGTCAAATCACCATTTTAGAGAGAGAATATGGTATTTAAGTTATTTAGTCACTGGAGATATTGAGACAAGTCAAGACTGTAAGTTCCCTGAAAATAAGATGTCCTATATTTTGTCCTATATTTTCTAAATCAATGAAAAGATAGAATTATCAGCGTAAGAGTTACCGTGTGGACTTTTAAACATAATTGGAATGAGTGTTTTGAGGAATTAATTCACCCAGATCGTGTTGTGGTTTAGCATATTACAATCCTAGCATTGTCCAGTGTGCATTAAAGAGTTCCTGTCAATTATGCTTGGCTGTGAGTGAATCTGAGGGTTCCTTTGTTATAAATTACTATTTCCTAAAATGCTTTTGCAGAGAGGCCATGGAACACTTTTAGATTTGGAATGTTTGAAGAGCCAGTCTTGCCAGTGGTTGATTTTGAGCCAGGCCAAATGTTTGTAAGTGCTTGTAAAACAAAGTCAAGCTGGGGATGCCCATTTGCTGTTACTCCATTTTCCTCCCGCTGAAATTCTCCTTCGGTTACTGCTTCTGCCACCGCTAACTCACCTGATGGCACAGTGTGATAGCTGCCTGGCCGAGCTGAAGAGAACGACTTGAACTTCTGCAGAAAGAGTCTCTTGGTGCTGCTAGTGCCCTACTTGCGTTTGGAGCATGCAACAGTGACATAAAAACCACGACTATTTTTGCAGCTGTAGGCAACTCACGGATTCCCAGAGAGAGTCACGTGGAAAGATAGGTCTTAAAAAGGCAAAAGGAAGGGGAAAAGGCATTGCATGTACCTAGTGCTTGAAGCTAGAGCAGGTTATGAAATATTTCCAGGTGTGTTGCGTGGCTCCTTTGGCGGTAGCTCATTTTCAGGCAGAGACAGTGGCTCATCACTTCGGCAGGAGTTCCCAGGTGAATCCACCGGTTCTTTCATTTCTGTGTGTCTTTCGGAAAGACTTAAGATGGGGCCATCGGAAGATGATCCTGTGAGAGCTGGGACATTTTGCCACGATCCCACTGGTGGTTGTGCCTTTCAGTCAATCAAAATCCTGCAGGTTGCGCTGGGCTTGCTCTCTGCCTTTCCCCTACTTCTTTCTGCCCCTTCCGTGATCTCTTCCTGCGTTTGTTTTGTCATCTGAAAATAAGTCCATGGAGGTTTTGCCAGAGGCTCATGGCAATCTTACCATCCAATGAATTGCTTTTTGTTGTTACTACTGATTTGTCGAAAACAGATTCTTTCTGCAAATAGGCAGGAGGCCCCTGCCAGCCAGTGCTGATCTCTGGCACATTCTCGCTGCAGCGGTTCCCAGCATCTGGCACGGTAATGGGGTTATGTTTATGTAAATAAGCGTAATAGTTTATATTTTCACCAGCTCCCCATAGGGGTTCCAGTTTTGACTGACTTTCTGAGCTGGGCGAGGAGTCACTGCATGGGAGAGGAAGCCCCCAAAGAGGAAATCAGAGACCCAGCATCTTTAAATGGTTGCTGCAGCCCAGTTTGCATCTTTTGGGATGCAAGGATTTCTAGCAAAACAGAGTTCCAGTGAAATCTGTTAGAAAGAAATCTGAGTTATAACCATTTGGAGGGTGGTTTACAAAGAAGAGCAGGATGAGACATCACTGTGGAGACTGCAGAGTGGAGTCCGAGTTCATTCATTCAAACAGGTCTTTGAGGAGGGTGGACTCTTGGTACAGGTTGGTCCTGGTCCATTGGCCGGAGGAAGCACCTCCGCCAGCACAGGAGGGGAGGGCCCCCAGTACCTCATGAGTATGCAGTTTGTGCTTTACTCAATCTTGAGAAGGGAATAATTTCCTGAAGGGGAACGTTCTAGAATCGGTTGCATGCTTTAGTTTCCATGCCTTCCTTTTTCGCTTTATTTTTTGAACACCTAAAGAGCCTCAGTCTCTGGATCCTTGATTATTTAGGAAGGAAACTATCAACACAAGAACTGTCAAGACGTGGGATTTATGTTCATAGACTCAGACTGAGAAAAAACAGTAGTCTGTGCCCCATGCTTGGGTTTCTTGCAAGAGGCATAAATCTGCCACCAGATGTCTCTGTAGCCCACTCCACGGGAATGCTAACAAGAACCCAAGCTGTGGCCGCTGAAACCTGAGCTTTCTTTTGACCTGGTGGTGCATTCCCTAACTTAATAAATTAAGTAGAAACCACTGAGGGTGTGTGTGTGTGTGTGTGAGTGTGTGTGTGTGTGTGTGTGTGTGTTTCCTGAGTTGGCTCTGCCTTGTAGGGCGTTCCCTTACTTCAAGGGTTATTTATTTTGCTGGACTGATTTCCTTTTGTAGAATAGGAGGGGAGTTACGGGGTGCTTCCAGAACAGGAGAGTAAGCCTTGGCAGGTGCAGGCAAGGACAGTGGCAGGGAAGGTGTCTTTCCTTATGGAGGGGCTTTGGTGAAGTTGCAGTGCTAGGGACAGGTAAGGATGCCATCAACTCCAGGACACCCAGCTGGTACCCACCTCCCCCCAGTAAAGGGCAGACCCGGACGCTGCCCATGAGCACTGAACACAGTGACTTGTCTTACTGTTTCTGTACGTCCCCGTTCCCAGCTTTAAAACATTTCAGTGGAAGATCAATAGGCAAGTTAATCAGGCAAGTTAAAAAATACATCCAGGAAAGAGAAAATTGATGGTGGGTGTGGTTTATGCCTAATCTTTGAAGTAGAACATTTACTCGTGAAGATGGTTGAAGGAAAGAAATGCAGCAGGATAAGTGGATGGATTAAATTTGGCATCTATATTCACCCCCAGAAAGGCTGGTCTGTGTTGAGTGTGCACTTGGAGGCTGTAACGGTGTGCCCGTGCTCCCTACACACGATGAGTGTGACTGACTAGTGACCCAGCACAGGAAGCATTGAGGGAGTAAGAAGGGGCCCTCCCTCGATGCATGGACCATCACACAGACCTGCGGCCTTGAGGAGCGCTTCACAGGAGGCGCGGCTCATCTGTATCTCCAAGTGTTGTTTGTTGAGTTGTCTGGCGATGACTGCACAGATTTAGGAACATTTCCAAGGAAAAGCCCGGGGTACAAAAGTAAGAACCAGTCCGTGGGCGAGTTGTTGTCTGAAGGAAACAAGAGAATATTTATTATAGAACAACCAGCAACATACCGATCCAGAATGATCCATACCCTTCACTACCTCATCATTGCCAGCACATCATTATGGGGGGAAGCGTCGGAGTACGCAGAGACAGAAGCATATAATGCAGTCCTGATCTTATTCCAAAAAAGATAGGCCTGAAGGAATGTTCGCAGGTTCTGTCTTCCTCTCTCAAAGGTGACACATGCGTGCAATATCTTGGTTTAACAAATGCGTTGAGGAATGGAGTTTACTCTAACAAGAGGTGAAGTCTTGGCACAGAGGTCAGAGCTTGCAGCCTCTGTCAGTGACTGTCATTACTGATGCTACTTTATTCTTTTTTAACAACAGACGAGGGGCTGTGGAGAGACGCTGGTGGCAGCCCAGGAAGACCCTCACCCCTCTCAGAAGGGCTCTACAGAGGCCCCCAGTGGGGACCTGTATTCCCTGAAGATCCGAAACACTAGCTGCTGCCATTCGGGGGAATACAGGTGCACGCTGCAGGGCCCGACAGGGCAGAGCCTCCACGAAGGCACTGTGATCTTGAAGGTGACAGGTGAGGTGGTCTATGGCATTTGTTTCCTCCTTGCATTGTCTATGGGTCCGCAAATCCAGCCTTTAGATCAGAGTCTAACTTGGAAGCTTTGGATGAAATCTGTGGCTAAAAGTCAAATTCTATTGCAAAATATCACAATTTTTTTTCTTTCTCTCCTACCTTCCTTCCCCCACCTTGTTCTTTTTTAAATAAGGCCAGATCTACCCCCCAGCCTGACCAGGGGCTAGCCAAACAATGAGTCTGGCTGTTGTTCATTCATATAAGCATCCCTTGGAGCAGATAGCAAGTCTCCAAGTCTAATTTTTGCAAGACAGAGAAACCGTGTAGTCTCAAATGCATCAGATAACTGTTCCAGCCATTAGATAAGCTGTTCAGGTCTTGGGGGCTCTCTGTCTTGGCCCCCATCGGCGTTAGGGAAGTAGGGAGCAGCTCCATGTTTCCACCTTGGTAACACGAGAACAGCAGTCCCCTCCCAGTTTCGCAGCAGGTGAATTTCCTACACCCCCACTTAGGCTGAGAGAAGGGATACTGCAGCAGGAAACTTCACTCCGTGCAGTGACACCAGGAGTGGAGTATCAAGACCAGGATCTTCCCCTTGATTTATTCCCCCAAACCCTTTTTTTGGGGGGGGGTAGCTTAAGATATGCTTTGCCTTTGACTTCTGCCCAGCTGTGAGGAGTGAGTGAGAAGTGAAAGGATAGACATGCTGCTGCCACTGCGTCCCCTGGCCTGCACACTAGCTACTTCCGCCTTGTCCCTGGTGTCTGGATTCTGAGTCAAGATGATATTCTCCTACTCATGAGAGCACAGTGGCTGTTTAGGGCGGGGTTGGATTTGGCTCACACACCCCTCGCCTCCTCCGGCTCTGGTTCTCGGTGCTGTGTTGTCTGTCCTCGTAGCCCTGCCACACCTGACGTGACGCTTTCCCTGTTTTGTTCTCTGGTGTTCCCTGGCTCTGCACGCCCTCCATGGCTGTCTTTCACCTGAATAAGAAATGAGAGCAGCCTTGCAGGAGAGGCCTAGCCTGTGGGGAGTGGAGAGGAAATGAACAGAGAAGAGCTGATTCCCTCTCCTTCCCTGACGGTTAAGTGGATGGACTCACGTAGGGCTGGTTCAGATAGAAGCTCTGCTGCTTGTTAGCGTGTGACATTTGCCAAATCGCTGATCAATGCCAAGCCTCAGTTCTCTCATCTCAGAAATGGGCTAATGGCTTCACGACAGGGTCGTCGTGGGCTGCGCTGCGGAGCACCGTACCCGCGTAGACTGAGCCTGGACACTGGTTCTCAACTCTGCTTTTCTTGAGTCCCAGATCCCTGTGCAAATCCATCCCTAGAGCTTGACACAACATTTTGACTGTAGTTTCAGGGGATCAACAGTTCTCACGAGGCGCCTCTGTAGCCCCTGGGGAGGGAGCCCCTCAATCATCTGCACTCCCACCTGCTCCTTCTGGGCCTTCAAGCAGAGAACAGCCTTGCCACCCCAGGCGGCAGGCTGACTGCTGAGGGGAGGGACTGATGGCCTCCCTCCTCCTGAGCACATCTCACCTGAGGACAAAGTGAAAGGCAGGAAAGACCCAGCATCTGAAATGGAGGCAGGTGGGCTGAGAGCGAGTCTGGACCAGCCTCTGGGCTCAGCCACCTGCCTTAGTCTGAGCCTCCAGCCCGTCTGCAAAATGGGGATGTCAGGCTTGCCTCTGATGACTCAGCACACAGTTGCACGCGTCGCTGCTGTCACCACACAGATGGGAGACTAGGTGTGAGACAAGTAGGACTCCAGAGGCAGGAACAGAGCATCGTAGCTTCTTATGGTGGAATGCCACTGTGAAATGGCTTCATATTTTCCTTATTTGTTTTTAAAGGATGCCCGAAGGAAGACAACGGAGACAGTTTTAGTAAACACACGGCTGACATCATGCTGCTGTTGGTGCTGGTCGTTTTCTACATAACGCTCATCGTTTTCACTTTTGTAAGTATGTTTTTAAAATGTCTCTTATTATTATGCAAAGGTCACCCGGGGTACCAGTCTGAACATGTTTAGTGGATGGTGTGAGTCATTTCATAATGGTAAGGGGAACACTGAACGCTGGATTTGGGGAGCACCCCCAGCCCCTGAGACTGGGAGAATCAGGGTCACAGCCTGTGTTTTCTCCAGTGGCTGCACAGAGCTGAGAAGAGAAAATGAAGGAAAATAGGGGAGGGAGTTTAGAGGCCAAGGGCCATGTAAAAACACCAGAGGGCCTTGTAGTTTCAGGAGAACGAAGTGCAACAATGACCGACTGTCCCCATTTCGGCAAGAGCGTCTTCACCCCGTGGGCCAACGAGCAAGACCCACCACCCCACTGCCCTGGCAGTCACCTTCCTCTGAACTGAGCTCTTTTCTCTTAAGGATTTTCTCCTTCTGGTTTTGACGCTTTCTCATACTGCTTAACAATTCGCCCCAAGTGTTTGGACCAGTTTGCACTCCCACCAGCGATGTAGGAGAGTTTCTTTTTCTCCACATCCTCGCCAAGAAGCCAGAGCAGTGGGGTTCACAGGGGTTGTCCTGGGGTATGGGATGACTAGCTGGGGCTTGCGTGTCCTTGAATGCCCTTGAGCTACTAGTTGAAGGCTCCAGCTTAACCTCCCTGAGCCTTTCTGCACGATGCTCGCTGGGGTTGACCAAGGTCAAGGGGAACCCCCTAAGAAGTGATGTCCCTTCTATCTCAATGTCATCAGGAACACCGGCTACTTAGGGGCCAGGAGCTCTCCCAGGGCTCGATCGAGTCACCTGCAGGCTCCGTATGTTCACTTACTTGATTCTCTGGCTAAGCACTCATGTCCCTGTTTGCTTTTTCATAGACTGCAGCCTATATTCCTTCATGCTAGGCATGATAGGGGATAGAAAAAGGTTTAAGACCGAGTACCTACTCCTAAGAAACTTAAAGTCTGATCATTAGAGGTATTTGCACAGAAGATAATGAGAATTACTGGGTAATACATTTAAAAAACAAGTGACCGTAGCTTCTTGTTGACAAATGCCCATTTCTAGGGGCACTGATTTTCGTAGTAGGGCCTTGAAATGACCCCAGTCTGGTATCAGTGAATCTCCTGGTTGAAGTTATGACATACTAGTGAAATAATACAAGGACCAATAGAGTGCGTGAGGTAGCCAATGTACCGAAAACTTCCAGAATGAGCTGTACAACCAACCCGTAGTGAATGGAGCTTAATTCAAGGTATCCACTGATCCATTTTTTCCCCCATTATTCAACTGCCAATTTTTATTTTATTTTTCAGAAGTTTGCAAGATATCAGATTATTTTTCCAGATTTTTCTAAACCCGGCATGAAACAAGCTTTTTTTGAATCCACCTTCCCCCAAAAGCCTTTGGAACTGGTGATTCTTCACAAGACAGATCTGGTATGAGCAGGATTTCTGCAGGATTTCTAAACTCAAAGGTTCAGTGCTGTGCCTGTTTGTCACACTGGACCTGAGAAGAATGAACCCACATTGAAGATGGCATACTTCCTGTGAAGTCCTTCACCAACTGGAATGTTCACTTTTTGTGGCTAGGGCTTTGAAAACTGTTATAGAACCAAATAACATGGAGCCACCTGTGGGCTGCTCTGCAGGGCTGCTTCTACCTGCTCAGAGTGTTATTCAGCCATCTGGTCAACCTCTTGGAAGCATTTTCAGTCATATAAAAGCTAAAGTGAGATGCACTTGGAACAGGGTCTTGGGAAATATGAATGCCTAGAGCTGGCCTTGGGACAGAGTCTTGAAGATAGCTGTTCTCTTTCACATATGGAAAACATTTCTTTGACTGTGCAATGTTTTCTTGTACTAGCCCAGATGTTTTAAGTCTGGAAGAAATTGACAGGCCAAGCTGTGAGACAGTGGGAAATATTTAGCAAATAATTTCCTGGTGTGAAGGCCGTGTTATTACTAAGAAGTGCTATGTGTACAAAGAAATAACAGGTCGGTGAACTGTTCCCCAACAGGGCCTTTTCATCTGGGAAAGACATCCATAAAAAAGAAATAAAGAAGAATGCCACATTTATTTTTACATCTACATAGACTGTCAAAGAAGGATTTGTGTGTTTTCTCCTTTTGAAATCTGTATCTGCAGTAGGGGTATTTTCTAACTGACAAGCAAGCTGACTATGGAGAGAAGAGAGAGTGACAGCAGGAGAAAGAGCTGGCATGACCCAATGAAGTGCCGGGCCAGTCATGCAATCTGAGTTTCAGTTCCAGCAGTTCCACTACCTGGCTGTGTGATTTAGAGCAAGATCCTTATGGTTTCTACATTCTGAGTTGTAAACTGAAAGGTTGTTGTGTGAATTGGTTGAAATAATGTATGTGCAATGCTTTGAAAAAGTATAAAGCACTATACAAATTTGAAACTCACTTGAGTCATTATCTTTATTTTCTTTTTTTTAAAGATTTACTTATTTATTTATACAAGCACTGGGTACCGTCAGAAGCGCAGGAGGGTGAGAGAATTCACCAGAGCCAGAGCGGGGAACAGAATAGGCAGACTGACGAAGTACACTGCTGAGGAGAGCAGCGGGCTGCAGGAGAGGTCTGCGCGCCACATGGGACTTGCTGGTGGCCGGGGATTGAACCGGTGCTGCAGAGGCTGCGGGCAGCTTCGCAGCCCAGCGCTCAACCGCTGCGCCACCAGGGGAGGCCCATTATCTTTATTTTTATTGGCTACCCTGCCTCATGTTTTATTTGGCTATCTGGTCAACCTACTGGGAATTTTTTCAGCAATATGAAAGCTATGTTGAGACACCACTGGAAAAGGAGTTCTGAGCGTGAGAGAATGCTTGTCATTTTTCATGTTTTCCGTTGTTCCAACCAAAGAAAGCTACAAAGAAAACTTTCTCGTAGTTTTCTATTTGAATTCCTTCAGGGAAATAAGGCAGCCAGTACCATGGTCTGCTCTTGAATTGCCAGCCAATGGTAACTCCAGATAGGGAAACACAAGAGCCACTGAGCTTTGGGGAAAAGGGAGTTTACAAGATGTTGCATTGATGTCTTGGCAATTGTTGGGTTTTTCTTATCAAACTTGGCCCTTCCCCTACATGTTTTCCAAAGAGATTTTATCCCTTTAGCATGTATTGTTCACTAGAGATTAAAAGGAATGCCAAGTTGATTGTTTCTGCGTCTTTATCATAGCTTTCATGATAAAGCTTTATCATAGCTTTCATATTAAATGTATGCCTATAAATAGGAACTGTTTTTCTTTTCATACTTAAAACTACTCATAACACATTGGCAAAAAGGATAGGATATTTATAAACTGGTTTGAGAACCGGAAACCTAGTAGAGATGAAAGATGGAGTCCTTTCTTTAAGAGAGCGGACCTATGTGAAATAGCACCCTTCCCTTCCCAAGATTCTCCTGAGTTCGTTCTAGAGTTGTATTGGCACCGGGGTACTTGATCGGCTGGACCACATGCACAGGCACAGGGGAAGGGGAGAAAGAAGGAGGTCGTCTACTTCAGAGGAATGGACCTGGATTCATGGGGTTTTACTCAAGATTCTCAAATAATTCCATTAACTGCCAAATGATAAGATGATAAGAGCAAGCTAATAACTGTGGTAATCACACATAAGTGTGTGTGTTGAATCTACTTAGGAAGATGGCTACTTAGGAAAACATAAACAGAAATGTACATAAGATAAATGTACAAATATAGATGTTATAGATTCCCTTTCAATGGAATGAAATGAAGTATTCTCCAATAGTTTACTAAGAGTGCTGGGGAGACCATTTGGCATGGTAATTAAGAGCTCAGGCAGTCCTAACCGAGCCAGGTTGGAAACCCAGCTTTCCTTGGAAGTTTTGCCTCTAAGGGGGCACAGGGACTTCCCTCTGTAAGCGTTAGCTGGCAGGTCTTTAGGATAGGACTAAGAATTCTATCTGCCTAATAGGTCTGTTATGAGGATTAAATGAGATAATACATCTAAGAGCTTATCTCAGGTCTGACCAATAGTAAGCCCTGCACTAACATCAAAGTAGACAGAAGAAAAAGGCAGCAGAGAAAATAACAGCAACCCTGAACCTTTTGTTAAAAGGGATGGAGTAGTTTTGTTAAAAGGAGTGGATTTGACTTGGTAGGAGAGTCATGTTGCTTTCATGAGATTAATATATGATGAAGCTAAGTCCTTCGTGGTCATTAGATGAGTGAAGGGGGTGCCCTGCATCAGTTTTGACAGATTTAACCAAAACACATGATGAAAATTTGAGATGAGGTAAGCTTAACACTGCACACGTAGTCTTTGGTAATAAGAAAAGGGTGTGTGTGTGTGTGTGTGTGTGTGTGTGTGTGTGTGTGTAAGAGAGAGAGAGAGAGAGACAGAGAGAGAGAGAAGGGTGGTTGAGATGGACTCAAGGATGAGGAGATAACTATTTATGAGGCAGGAGTGGTCTGGTTTTCCTCTGCTTTGATTGAAGCCTATCAAGGTATTTCAGAGGATAGCAGATGATCAGGAGCCATTTTTCTCTTTGTCTCCCATGCCAGAGAAAGCCTTGTTTCCAGGACCCTTCTTGGTCTATGGAATGAGATCTCTAGTTATAATAATTTCACTTTAGGATGTCCCAAGACACAAATACAAATAAGAATATCAGCTCCACATCCTCCCAAAATAAGGCCAGTGCTTTTTGTTTTCATAATAATTCTTAGCTGGTTTCATCATAGAAATAAATACTAAGCCTCTCTGACAGAACCTAACAGAGTCTGATTATTTGCTGGGGGAAGAGGTCCCACAACAGCCTGTGGACTGAGAGAGCTTACGTGAGACTCACGTGTTTGACCCCACAACACAATAAGGGTTGAGAGTCTCAGAATAATTCAGCCTGCTTCTCTAGCTCTTTCCTCTTTGGCAACTATATTTGGCTGCATTAATTGGATCATTGTTTAATACTCCGTCTTTCCTATATAAAAATAGCCAAAGGTCTAAAAATCTTAGAATAGGAGCTTTTCATTTAATTCAATAGCAATTGTCCCTCATAGTTTTGCAAGTGATTGTTTGCTGAGCCAGATTTGATCTAATTGGTTGATAAGATGCAATCAACCAGTTCTTTGGTCAGAGTCTGTTATTGCTATTTATTGTCTTCTCCAGACTAGATGTGTTTGTTTTCCCATTTCAGCTTTAAGTTGCATAAGAAATTAAATTACTACCACTGTCTTATTGTAGTGTGTATGTGTGTGTGTTGAATGAATGGAATTAACATAAGCGTATTTGCTGAATAATTACTCTAGAAAAAGTGCTGTTGTAGGCATTCTATGTAGTACTCAAAAGAAGCAAGACACAATCCTTTCTTTCAAGGAGCTTGCAATCCAGTGAAGGGGGACATGAGCTCAAGCTGAATGCACAGCTACTTAACATGAGGGAGCTATCGGAACAAGAGTGGGGACATGGAAGTATGATGGGAGTGTCCAAATTCACCTGGGAGTGCATTAGGAAGGCTTTATGGAACTAATTCCATTTGAACTTGGACTTGAAAAATAAGCAGCATTTTGAATGACAGTAGTGAGGAAGGATGGTAGAAATGGCACAGGCACAGTGTCTAAAGCACAAGGCTAGAGGGAACACTTGAACAGAGAATTGTTTTCAAAGGAAAAAATACTGGCAATTTTTTTATTATCATAATTGACTTTAATCTGTACAGATATTAACCTAACAATAATATCCTTAAAACCAAAACAGATGTAGAAATATAAACCACGCTGAGCAAACATGAGCTTTCAGATAAACTTCTATGCAAATTCGTAAAATGCAAACCAATCCACAGGGCCAGTAAAATTCCCCTCTTCTAACTGGCCTCTATTAGAAGTGTCGCACCCCTGAGTTTCTGCCGCGGCAGTGAGGCCGCGTGGCTTCACTCAAGAGGGTTCACTTCGTTTGTGCTGAAGTCCAGTCTGCTCATTTTCATGTGTCTGAGACAGTCAATGCAATTCTAGCTGGCACCTGTGCCTTCCTTCAGAGAAAAACACAAACTTAGAAGGGGCATAGAAATTCTGTGGTTTGAGCTGGTCACAGGACATTTAACATTGCTTATTTGTAGATTTTCATCAAAATGAAAGCCTATAAAAATATGTCAAAAACTCATAGACCCAGAGAAATGTTGAAAGGCCCTAGTCTGAGAAATACTGGTGTGCCAGGCCTGAGGGCATGACTGTCTCTCAGGAGAGGGCGGGATGTGGGCAGAAGGACTAGGGACCTAAGCTGTCAGAGGGTGCCAAGTTGGTGTCTCTCCGCTTTCTCTTTCACCTTAAAACTGTCTGTTCTCAGATTCCCTGTGGAAACTGAGGCAGCCCAGTTATTCCTTTTCTTGTCCTCATCCGTCATTCTGGATGTGGGTTTGTGTTCTGACAGTGACTGCATCCTGCTCATGCTGGATATAAAAATTGGGGGCTTCCATAGTGGAATCCCATCCCATCGCCCAGAAGGACAGATTGGAAACATGCTAACTCTCTGAAACATGCTAATTCTATATTTAAATGGACCTGTCTAACATGAGGAGAATTTTAAATAACAACCATTGAGACTCTGACAGAATTTTACTGACTTTAGTTGTACAGGATCTTTCAGAGTAGGGAAAGAACTTGACCAAGGAAATCTTCAAACAACTATCAGGAAGGGGGCCTCCCTGGTGGTGCAAGGGGTTAAGCACAGCACTGTGAAGCTATCCGCAGCCTCTGCAGCACGAGTTTGATCCCCTAGCAGGCCAGGGAGCTGACACACTCCCCTCAGCAGTGCATTTCAGTAGATCTGCCTGTTTTGCTCCCCACTTTCTCTGGTGAATCTCTCACCCCCTACACCTCTGGCTTGTACCCCAGTTCTTGTATGCATAAATAAATCCATCTTTTAAAAAAAAATAAAACAACTATTAAGAAGCATGAACTTGATTGCCTTTTATCAGATGGGCAGATAAAGGAATATGGCCTGCCCTGTGACAGGCAGCGGTAACCCCAAACTCAATAAATCATGTTACTGAAACATGTTGACTTCAGTCTGTAGATACTAATCCTCATGGGCAAATGGAGGCCACATAACACCTGATCCTTGTTCCCAAAATCCAACTGATAGGCTTGCTCCCCCTGCAGCTCACCCTCACTGGGCTGTAGTCAGTTACCCGTGGTCATCGTAAGCCAGGATGGACTTGCTTCTGAGCCAGTTGCTCAGCTGTCCCAAGGCCAACTACCCAACCTTAAGGAGTCTTCAAATCTCAATCAAGCATTTCTACCAACCTTTTTCATAGGCAAAAGACACCCACAGCGCAGAGCAAGCAGAGAGGAGGCAATAACAGAAGACAGAAGCGTTATGGCAGAGGATTTGTAGAGCG